CTTCTGCTCCTCATCATCCATCTGGTACACGCAGTTGTACGCCTGGTCGTCCGCCGCCAGGTTGGTGCGCACCACGTGCGCCAGCCGGTACTTGGCGCGCCCCACGTCGGCCGGCCGGCTGCTGAGCAGCATGGCGGCGCCGTTGGCGCGGAAGATGCAGTTGGAGACCTGCAAGGCGCACAGGGTGACAGACAGGGGACAGCAACAGGTGGGATTTGCAGCCAGGGGTGCATGAATTTGTGGGGTCGCCGTGCGAATGCATGAGTGAGTGGTTGTTTCATCTGCGTGCTAGCAACACAACAACAACCGCATGCCGCACATAGCGCGCGACCCGCGCACACCTGTGTGGGGCCGCCCCGCACCCCGCCTATCCCCTCGCACCTGCATCGCGCGGTCGCGGCCCTTGTAGTGCGCGTTGGTGATGTTCTCGTGCGACACCACCAGGCAGTACTCCCCGGGGTTGTGCTCCAGCAGCTGCTTCGCCAGGTCGAGCGCAATCACGCCCGCGCTGCAACCCATGCCGCCCAGGGCAAAGTTCTGTGGGAGGTTTTGGGGAGTGTCGCGCCATACAGACAGTAAGATGAAGACGCGGGAGCACACTTGTGCGATGCCAGGCCATTTCTCAGCAAGGAGGCAGAAGCGCCGCGCGGGTGCGCTCAGCTGACGGCAGCCACTGGCGGTTGAGAGCAATTGCGCGGCACAGCACGCGCGACGCACCTGCGTCTTGGGCCCCATCTTGAACTTGTTCATGATCATGGCGCTCAGGCTCGGCGTGGGGTTGAATAGGCTGCTGTTGGTGACCACAAAGCGGATGCGCTTGGGGTCCACGCCCGTCTTGGAGAGCAGGTCCTGCACCGCCGAGAAGCAGATCTGCTCAAACTCCTCGCGAGCGACCGACATGCCCGTGATGCGCTGCACGATGGCGGGCGTGACGCAGGTCTCGTCGCCCAGGCCAGACCTGGGTTCGAGGGGAAGCAGCAGGGGCACGTGCGGAGGAGGAGGTCAGAGGTTGTACGCTGCACCAGCTTTGCATTGCAAGGCGGCGAGGCGGACAGGGGTCTCCAAGCTACTGCATGCAGGCCGCCGAATGGCTGCCCGCTGGCCGCTGTGTGGCGGTCTGACCACTCTCCCCAACATATACAGCATGCTTTCTGAACAGCTTGCCCGGATCACACATCCTGACCCGCCCACTCCGCACATCATGGGCGCCTCATCCGCCCACCGCGCCCGGCTCTCCTCAGCCCCGCGGCCGTCCCCACCTGTGTATGACCTTGTGCTGGAACTCAATATCCTCCGGCGCGAACACGCCCTCAGACACCTTGACCAGCCCGTCGCGCGGCAGCCGCCATTCGTCCGGCGCGCGGTGCACCGCAAAGTCCACCAGGTGCACCGCCGGCGGCCGCGCAGGCAGCAGGCGCGCCAGCAGGACCGCGCCGGCGGCGAGGGCGAACAGGAAGACGCCCTGCGGGGTTCAACGCCAGGTGGACGGGAGTGGTGAGGGGCTTGGGCGCGGTGACGGGTGAGGACGCGGGGTGAGCGGTTGTGCCCAGCGGTTGTGCTCAGAGGAGGAGTCGGCAGGGAAGCGAAGGAAATGCGTGGGGAGGGGGGGATACGGTCGCCACATCCTGGTTGGGTGTGGCTGAGCAGGGCTGCCGGCGCCGGCGCGCCGCCCATAGTAGGGAAGGCGGGGGCCACATCCTTCCTGTCTCTCGGCCAGCTTCTCCGTCAGCGGCGCCTGCTCACCAGGCTGACCCCCAAACTGTCCGCCACGAGCTGCGCGGCATCCAGCGTCCCCTGCTGCGCTGTGACCTCGTCCAGGCCCCTCTGCAGGGCAGGGCGCACAGGGCACAGGCTGGCTTGGTGTCATGCTGACATTGGCGAGGCCACGCACACTGCTTTGCAGTTCGCGCCGGGCTGCTGCTTGCACCCATTGCAAGAATGTTTGGGTGTTAAGTATTTTTTGTCTGCACAGGCAAGAGGCAGGCAGGGGCGGTAGTGCAGTCGTGGAGCACTGTGGCCCCGCCAGCGCTGCGCATCCGCCCGTCGGCTCCCGCGGGGGCTCACCAGGAAGAGCGCGCCGGCTGCCGCGAGGGCTACCGCGGGCATCGCATGATACAGAGATGTAATACTCATTTCTACTTGCTCGAACGGTTCAACCAAGGTGCTGGCGACGGGTTGGCGCGATTATCTGCTCGCCGTATGTGTGTGTGCCGGCCCGCGTCCTGCTAGGAAGAGAGCTGCGCTTCTATGTGAAGAGCTCTAACATTGAATATTATAGTCTCATAATGATTTCAGGACGCAGGCTGCTGCCGGGAGAGAGCCGGAGAGGTTGCGGTTTGAATGGGAGGAGGGACAAGGGAGTGATGGGTGTAATAATATCCAGCGACAGCAGCCTGTATGCATGATATTGAAGCACGCCCATCGAGCGAGTGCACGACGGTGCTCCCCGGACCCCGACAAAGCAGCAGATGGTGTCCGCGTGCCCGTCTACATTCCGTCAGACAACCCCGCGTCAATTTATCGATATTAATGTGGATAATATGTATCTCGGGTGCCGAGAGGCCGTGGGCAGGTTGGTGAGACATGGCATTCGTGGTGGGCGCTCTTGCAGCACAAGCCTTTTCGCCACAGTACCGCTTCCTCGCTTTGTTGAGTGCTGCTTTTGATCCTGGGATGATGGCTGTAGACACCCGATTGATCAGCACTTGCACGCCAGCAGCGGCAGGTAGCAATTCTGCCATGGTAGGGAGCTGCTGGAACGACGCATGTTGTTGCTAAATCCTCGCATCCCGCTCCCACATCGGGTTTGCTGCTTGCAAGTGCCACCATCTCCCTGCTACGGTTATCGGATCAGCAACACGTGCATTATGCAGTTCTGGTTACAGGCTCCAATGGGGCAGAGGACACAGGTGCCTCTTGCTGGCCTGATTGTGCAGACGGACATGCGCGCACGAGGGACGGACATGCGCACACGCGTTGCACAGTGGAACAAATACATTCCGCCAGTGGCATGATTCGGCTGGTGCTCTTGGTGCCTCCTGACAAAGGTTGGCGCGGCAGTTCCTCTCAGCGCAGCTCCATGGTGAAGCCTCGAATGCGCGCCAGCCCAGCTTTGTGCGTTGAATCATGTGGGTGTTATCAACTTTTGAGTCACCCAGTTACGGTGGTTTCGAGTTCACGGTACTGGCAGGGAATTCCGAACGAACAGGAAATTCTCACCGCAGTCTTGAGTGACCCTGGCGGTCACTTCGGTCCATGGGCATCCACGGAACATGCAAGATTTGTCACAGGTGTCTGGCATATTTTAGTCGCACGATTTTACCTGCGTCCGAGCGCAAAACCATGTCACACCCCACTTGATCCGACGCGGCAAGCCGAGAAAACGAACTGCAACATCAAGCTTGATGTTGCAGGTTGTTCTATTGCTACTACTAGTAGTGCACGCCACCGGACAGGCCTTGCCCCCGACCACAGCGGACCTGGCCTCACTGGCCCCTGCACCAACGCCGCTTGTATGCGGAGCCGCGGGCACGCTGCTCGGCGCCCTGCCGCTGGCGTCCGACTTTGACTACTGGGTGCTGCGCCTATTCTGGCCGCCGGCGCTGTACGCAACGAATGTCGACGGCGCGGCCGCCGCCGAGGCGGAGGCAGAGGCAGGGAGGGTTGGGCGCGGCTTCTGGACGCACGGCCTTTGGAACTCGGAGACGGGCGGCCGGCCGCGCGCCCCACCCAAGCCGACGCCGCCCGGCTGGGAGAGGGGCAGCTGCGCCAACGACGCGCTCGCGGCGGCCAACTTCACGCCGCCGCTGATGGCGCAGCTGGCGGGCGTGCAGCCGGGCGTGCCGGGCAACTTTTCAGAGGCGACGGATCTGAAGTTTTGGAGCCACGAGTGGAACAAGCACGTGAGCAGGGTGGTGTGAAGGGGGAGGGGGTGAGGGGCCTCGACCCCCAGGCCCCTTGGCGGCAGACGATCGGTCCGCACCAGCCCACCCACATATAATAAGGTGCAACGACACTTGTGGCGCTTGGGCGGCTGGCACTCGGCGTCGCCGCGGGCAGGCCAATTGCACAGCACTCCACCCCTGCAGCCCTGGATCCTTGCCCCGCCCGCTGCGCTCCCGCCTCTCAGGGCTCGTGCAGCGGCCTGTCGGTGGACAGATACTTTGGCCTCGTAGCCAAGGCGTCCTCGCGCTATCTGCCCCTGGCTTCGGCGGCACTCGCCAAAACCGGCATCACGCCGCGCTCCGAGCCCTATAATCTGGGTCAGGTGTGTGCCTGAGGCGCGCGGTGCAGCTTCGTATTGCAGTTTCAGGCGGACGGCGTGCCTCTGCGTTTCTGCATGCCTGCCGTTCCGCGTGCATTATCGCTTTGCTGCGTGCCTGCGTACCTGTCCAAGCCGCTGGCGCCAAAGCGATTCAACTGCCTTCTCATCATCATGCTCAGGTATCATCCGCCCTGAGCGCCGCCTTTGGCCCTAGTTTCAATGCCACAACGGGGCTTTTCTGCTCCATCGACGACTCGAATCGAACGCTGCTGTCCGAGGTCCAGATCTGCCTGGCAAAGCAGCAGCTGGAGCCCTGCCAATGCCCGAGGTAGCGACTTGCTGCATGCAGCGCTGCAGACCAAGCGCCTTGCAAATCACAGCCGTGCGCACAACACAATGTCATGACATGCAGGTTCGCTGGTGCTGGCAGCCGCAGCCGCAGCCGCAGCCACAGCCACAGCTGCAGCTGCAGCCACAGCTGCAGCCGCAGCCACAGCCGCAGCCGCACCCGCAGCCGCACCCGCAGCCGCCCTCACACATGCGTGCCCACTCCCTCATCGTTTTGCAGTGCTGCCCCCGCAGAAGGCAAGCTCGCCAACTACCAGCCCTGTGGCGGCCCCTCCAATGACCCCAGCGCCCTGGTCTACGTCGTCGGCTTCATGGATGCCGCCCTGCTGCCCAGCGGTGTGTTCGCCACTCGATGCATCCCTTATGCATCCCCCACAAAACCAAACATGCACGCGCCAGCACATGCTGCCTGCATGCCACTTTTGCAGACCCTCACACAACACCCCGCCTGCGATCCTGTGCTTCTTGGCTGTCGCACCACGGGCATTGTGGTACCTCTCGCCCTACTCTCAGGCCCCATAAAACCTCCTTGCACGCCCCACAGTGCCGTACCATTGGCTGTGGATCCTTGGGCTGGTGATGGGTGTGACGCTGCTGGCATTGATTGTTACATGGGTCGCCCTGGTGAAGAGCGGCAGGGCGCCCCACCTTCTGGTGCCAAAGAAGCCGGTTGAGGTACGGCGAGTGTTTGCAATGAAGGGCAGGAATTGGTGCCAGGCATAGATCAAGGGGCCGTCAGCTGTCTTGTCAGCACGTGCTCCTCCGAAGCCGACGGGGCCCCTTGCCTGCGCAATCGTTTTGCCGCCATCCTGGGCACCGACTCCCGCCAACTGCAAATGGGTTCTTCAGTGGTCACCACAATGCCTGGCCTCCCCGACCCCATCCATCTGCGCCCTGGCCCCGCCTGCAAATGCCCAAGCAAAGGTGCACAACCCGTTGGTCCACCAGCCGGTCGAGGTGGTGTGTGAGCCTGTCGACATGGCGGCGCTGACAGAGCTCCACCCCCTCCTGGCTGCTTACGTCCGGGACCTGCCTCCAGGTGAGGCAGAGGGGACAAACAGCTGATCTAGCCGCCGCTCGTGCCCTGGGCCGTTTCGGGGCGCGGCGGCGCCTGGACGCAGTCGCTGCGTGCGATAGCACACAGCGGGCTGCGTGTGCCGCACTTCTTCTAGCGCTGCACATGCCAATGAATGCAGTCAAATTATGCGCCGTTTTCTTTTTCTGCCTCATCAGACCACGTTTGCGCACCGCCTGGGCCACCTGTCTGGGCGTGCAGGCATGGGCATCAAGGGTGGCATTGCGCGCAAGGTGCTCAAGGCCCTTCACGGCACACCTGAGCCACCCAGCAAGTTCGACATCGATGTGGTGGGCTCTCGGGGTTTGAAATAAGCTGCTTTGCTCACAAGACGCACGCAGGGCGCGCGGAGAGCGTGTGCGGGCTGGAGGACCGCGGGCGTGTTGCCCAGCGGTGGCCACATCAGCATGCGCTTGCCATGCTCTCCTGCTGCGTTGCCGCGCCACGTTGCCACCGGTTCCGGAGCGCTCCAGCCCCCTGCTGCATTCGCTGCCGCAGCCAGCGGCGCACTTGCAAAACCCGCAACCCATCCCTTGGCTGCCGGCCGGGTGCAAACCCTGCCCTGCCCTGCAGGTGGTCATGCTGGCGCGCCAGCCGACGGCGGAGGAGCAGCGTGCGGTGCGGGAGGCTGTGAGCGGCCTCAAGATCGGCGACTTGGAGCTGGAGCCTCAAGATGTGGAGGTGTCCGACAAGGTGGGCTGCATGTGTACGCTAACATGACACAACCGCTGGATCTGGAACGTGTCCCCGGCTAGAGGTTTGGTTGGGTTGTAGGTACATAGAGCAGACTTGAGATCGGCTGGGTGCAAAAGCAGCCGTGGCTTTTGCTGTGGCGGTGGTCCTGGGGCCCTCATTGCGCAGAGGGCGCCCCTGCGCTGGAGAAGGCTCGCTGCGGGCCTCGTCAGCCGCCTGAGGGCGGGCCACGGGCCTGCCTGCGTGCGTGCCCGCCTCTCCGAGTGCGTGCGCCCCTCAGCCTTGGTTCCACCCCGCTGCTGCGGTGACGTCACCCGTCAGGAGCACCTGCGGGAGTACTTCCACACCCGCGACTGCACAATGAATGAGGTTGCACTCATCAAGACAAGCGGCAGCCCCGCACCCAGCTGCAGCGGCGCCGTCGATTTCCCCGCGGTCGGCCACGGGCCCTCGGCGGAGGGCGGCGGCAGGGGGCCCGTGGGCGCCTGTGGCGCCCTGCCGGGGCGAGGTGCGAGCGCTGCCGGCGACGGCGGCGGGGAGCGCGTTATGCTCTTCTACACGCGCCAGGGCCTCGAGGACGTGAAGGCCGGCCTCATCCGCCCCAGCACGCACGCGCTGCGCAGCAAGCTTGCCACCTTCTGGGCCGTCGACCCGCGCACCGGCCACCCGCACGTCACCCCGGTCTACCTCACCCGGTGCCTTATCCGGTACCTGAAGGGTCACGGCAATGATTACGCGTTTGACCGACATACTTGGCGCTTCTACCGCGCGAACAAGCTGAACCGCATTTCGCTGTTCAAGGTGGGTCCCTGGCGGCGGCGCAGCTGGAGCCAGCTGGGGGTGTGTGCACATGTGCTGATGTGGGGCCGCTGGCGTGGCAGGGTGCACGGCTTGCAGGGTGAGGGGAGCGGGGTCGCTGGCAGCCGCACTGCCGCAGAACCAAGCTTTGATACTTGGCGCTGAGCATTGGTCACATCTCCCCTGCCAGAGTAGCTCACATAAATGATCCAGCCGGTCCAGCCGGTCGGACAAGGTCAGAGCCTTGGTCAAAACCCCTCTTTCCAATTGCGCTGCCCCAGGTGCTCAAGCCGTTCCACGACGACAGCCGCAAGCTGCAGTCGGCCTGCAACCACCTGGTGTCCATCGGGTTCCTGTCGCGGCTGGAGATCATCCGCGCGGGCGGCACCAACAAGCTCTGGGGGCTTCTGCTCAAGGTGGGGGCCGGGCTGGCAGTGGCTGCGTAAGCTCTGGGAATTGTGGCTGGTAGAAAACAAAGGCGTTCATGGCGGCATCGATGAGGGGGAACAGACGCGCAAACGGAAGCGTGAAAGCTTGCACCACATGCAGCCTGAAGACCTCGCTGCAGACCATCTGATTCGTTCCCTTGTGTGAGCAGTTTGCCATCGTCGAGCACACTCTTGACACAATCGCCAGATACTTGTCCAGGTTGATGGCGACCAGCTTTCTACTGCCAATCCCCAATCGTGCATTGTCACCTAGGATTTAGGTTTTAGGGTCCAGGTTTCACTCACCGTCTCCCCATCTTCCAGACCCATCCGCCCCTTCTACTGATCCCCCAACAACTCTCCTCCCGACCCCACCACGCCCACTGCAGGAGGTCAACGACACGATTGCAGCGTTTGGTGGGCGCCTGACCCTGTCGCCGCTGGACACAGATGGCGTCGAGGCCTGGCTCGAGGACAAGCAGGCAGAGGTGCGGGCAGCCGAACAAATCATTGGCTTGCGCTGGCTTATCAGCAGCTATTGCCATGCACGACGCTTTTGTTGTCCATGTTTGTGCTGCTCTGGCCGAGTCACGATACTGTTACCAAGAATTGTCGTCGTGCGCTTTACATTCCTGATGTTGACCTTCATGTGTGCCGACGCTAAGCCAGCTGGGGCAGTAGCTGACATTATGCCACACGTGCATGTTCACCCACTCAGGTGACAGCCAAGGTGTCCGGCCGCGCCGTCCGTGCCCGCCGCACCGGTTACTACGAGTCAGCCGAGGATGTCGCCAGCCTTGGCCTGCTGCGCCTGCCGCCGGAGCTCGACGCATTCATCGCACACGGCGCCACGTTCCCGCTGCCACCGGCGGGCCCCGCGACCCAGGGCGCTGTTGTGGCTTTGGAGGAGACGGACCTGGATCACATCAAGTCGCCAAAAACCCCCGCATCTGCGCAGTGGCCGCCGTCGGCGTCGGCCGGTGTTGGCCAGAGGCTGGTCGCTGGAAAGGCCGGGGAGGTGCCGGCGCCGGCAGCTCCAGCTGGGGCGCCGCCCGTCGATTGGATCAGGATGAGTGCCCTGGATGAGGCGCTCGGGTGTGTGGGCGCCGGACAAGGGAAGGGTGCTGCCACACATGAGGGCGCCGTCGATGACATCGGGTCCTTCTACCAGGTGGGTTTTTTGAGGACAATTGACAGCGAATTTGTGATGGCTGTGCGTAACTCGTCAACTTGTGCCAGCAGCCGCATGTTGCCGCCGCCCATCCATGAGGCCCCTGTCTGCGCCTCAAAAACGGCATTGGCGTGCGCAACCGACCAGACAGCCGCCCCCCCCCCCCCGCATGAGACGACATACGCCCCAGCCGGACCAACGCCGTCTGATCTGCAAAACAACACACACTCTCCCAACCAACGTGCCCGCAGGTCTGGCAGGGCGTCGACTCAGAAGCCGGCTACAAGCCCCTCGTTCCCGACAAGGACGCCGCCTCCCGCCGCCAGCCCCCCGCCCGCCAGCTGCTCGCGTTCGCGCTCTCCGTCGCCCGGCCCCAAGCCCTGCGGCTGCTGCTCGCGTACGTGCTGCTGCTGCTGGCCGTCGCCGGGCAGCTGTGGCTGCCTTGGGTGCAGGGGGCCATCTTTGACGCCGTCGTTTTTAACGCAGGGGAGGCGTTCAGGAGGGGCCTGATCATGTACGTGTGTATCGCAGCGGGGACGCAGGTGCTGCAGCTGTGCGGGTCGCTGCTAATGGACGTGGTGGCCAAGGCGTCCATGGAGCGGATGCAGACGGCCCTGTTCAACCACCTGCTGATGCAGGTGCGCGTGCTTTGCGCACTGCGTGCGCCTGTCGGTTGTGGCAGCCAATGCGCACTGCTGCGACCTTGCAGGCGCTGTTCAGCATCCCCACGCGTTTGTGGGCGCCCTCGTGCTCCCTGCGTGCCGATGGCCCACATACAACGAACTTTGTATACAGATCAATGAATATCCCATCATGCGTTGTGGGGTGAGAATGCCTAAACCCGTGCCCTGTCGACACCTACCTTTCAAGGACCCGTCCTTCTTTGTGGGGATGTCACCCGGGGAGCTCATGAATCGCGTCGGCGGCGACAGCCTGGCGCTGCGAGGGTTGCTCACCACCACAGCCTTCATGGTGAGGCCTGTCGGCGCTTGCCCTGCAATGCAGTGAGCGGCCACACATGTAGCGCTTGCTGCTCACAGCAGCTTGCTGCGGCGGCCTGCGCGACACACATCTGATGCTTCACAGTGCGGCCTGCGGGCACCTTGTTGTGCGTGCTGAGGACCAAGACCCAACACTCAGATGCACCATGACATGGCTGATGAATGCCGCACTTAATCATCCACATGCCCCAATCTGCGCTCTGCAGGTGGTTGAGGGCATCCTGCTGTTCCTTGGATCCCTTGGCGTAATCATCGCCCTTCTGACTCTACCCTATGACGGCCCCCGTACCTTTCAGATCATCCTTCCTGTGACTATCATTGCCAGCTTGCTGGAAGCCGCCGCCGTCGGCGCCGTCGTGCGCCCCCTGAACCTGAAAATGCGCCAGTCCATGGGCCGCACATTTGGTTTCAACCTCGACATCTTCACAAACATCGGGACGGTCGCTTCCCTTGGGATCTCAAATCTGCTGCAATCCGACTACGCGCGGTTCGCCTCGGACGTCGCCGCGGGCACATGCCGGCTGGCGCTGATGGGGAGCGCCCACCGGTGCTTCACTACGGCCATGGCTTCAGCGATGCGGCTGCTGTTCCTTTGGCAAGGCGGCTACCAGGTAAGTGGCAGAGCGGAGCACTGGGGGAGCTTTTGGTTGTTCGCTTGTTTGGAAGGATGCCTGACCAGGGCCTCGATTTGCCGGCTGCCAACCCGGCGTGGTGTCAAAGCTAGCAAATGGGGCCACTTCTGCTGCAAACTCAGCACTGAATTTGATTCGGCCAGCTGTGGGTCCCTTGCACTTGCGTTGCCAACTTTGTTGCCTGGGCAAGCGCCTCGTGCGTCAACCTGTGGCGGCCCACACCACAGGTCATGATGGGCTTCGCGACAGTGGGCGAGCTGGTGGCGGTCCTGCGCTACGTCTCAGTGGAACAGAAGGGCCTCAATCAGGTGTGCTGCGCTGTCGCAGCAACGAGAGCGACTCGCTGTTGTTTGCACCTCAGCGATACGCATGATGTGTATGTGTCTACCACCTAGCATGATGTTCAGGTAGGCCTTGGACTTGTTGCTGTTGCTGCCACACGATGCGATGCCGCACCGGTGACATGGGTTGATCGACGGCGCTAGATGGACATATGTTATGGTTTCTGCTGCACCTCTCTTGATGCGCTAGTGCCAAAGTACCCCGCCACCCTCCCTTGTCCCCACACCACCACCAACGCGAAGCTTGCCACCGGCTGGGCGCGATGCATGTCCAGCATCGGCAGTTTGGAACGACTCCTGCAGCTCCACGACCGCGGCACCCTGCCAGTGCCCCGCAGAACCCCCCACCAGCCCCCCGTCGATGCCAGCGGCAGACCCGCTGGTGGCCTGCGCCGCCGCCTCCGCGTGCTGCGCTGCTGCGGCTGGCTGGACGCCGCCCCTTTTGGCCTGGACGCCGGCCCCAGCGGCCGCAGCGAGGCCGCCGAGGCGGGTGGCGGGGGCAAGGCGGGCCTGGCCCTGGAGGTTTCGGGGGTGGCGCTTGCCGAGGATGGAGGGCTGTGCAGTATGATGGGCGGCGTGGCCCTGAGGGACGCCGCAATCTTGGGCAGGGGCAAGGCCAAGGCGGCGCCGCTGCGTCACCTTGAATTTGAGGTGCGAGGAGGGTGGGCTGGGGCGAGGAGATATCCTGGGGGACGGCCTGCCATCGCCTGCTGTCATCCACGATTGGATGGATGCACCTAGCTCCTGGCCGCCGCCCTGGACTGTGTTGTCCAACATGTCATCTGGCCCTGCGTAAACCTCATCCCATTTACTCCTTGCTCGACTCCGCTTACCCAGCTCTGGTTCAGTCACTACGTTTTCTCTTATACCCTGCCCGCACCCCGACCGACCCACCACCAAGGTACTGGCGGGGCAGGCCGTGGTGCTGGACGTCTCCAAGGCCGCCCCCGGCGCTGCCCAGGCGCTGCTGGAGGTCCTGGCACTGCAGCGGCCCCCAACTGCAGGCGCAGTAGAGCTGCAGGTGCCCTCAAGCCAACAGCAGGCTCGCGCTTCCGAGGGTCAAGCGTCAGGGGGTGCAGGCGGCCGCGGCTGGCGCTGGCGGGCGCTGTCCCCAGCGGACGACGACCCGAGGGCCGCGATGCACGCGGCGACGCTGCTGTCGCCGCAGGCGTGCGCGCCGCTGCGCGCGAGCGCGACGGACAACGTCGCGTGCGCGGCCGCCGCCGCGGCGCTCGCGGCGGCCGGTTTGGGGAGCCCCGCGGCCGCGCCGCCGACACACGCGCGGGTGCGGGCGGCCTGCGAGGCGGTCGGGCTGCACGATGATTTCCTCGGACTTCCCGAGGGCTACAACACTCTTGTCGGGTCCGGCACCGAGTTCCCGCTTTCCGAGGGCCAGCGGCTGCGCCTGGGCCTCGCGAGGATCCTGGTCTGGGGCCCGCGGCTGGTTGTTGTGACCGGGGCGCCGCGCTTCGAGGAGGCGCTCGGCGGCCGCGCGCAGCTGGCTGCGCTGCTCTCGCGCCTGGCGGGGGCCGGGGGGTCCACGGTGGTGGTGGCGGTGGAGGGGGCCGGGGTCGCGGCTGACTACGCAGATGCGCTGGGGGCGCGCGTGGATGCGCTGGTGGGGGGGTCGTTGCAGCGTGGTGCATGATATCACAGGAAGCCGAGCCTGCTGTGACGGCCTAGCATACTCTGACTGCCTTGGTCGTCTCAAGATGCCTCAGGCACTGTGTTGAACACGCCACCAACCATCCTATCCAGCCCTTCACCTCATCACAAGATTGCACGACCTGAATTCCTGGTTTTGAAGGTTTGTGTTCATCAGGCTGTTCCAACCCTCTCTGCACTCTGCTGCACGGGTCGCTTGATCTGGCCCCTCGATGCGTGCAATGCGAAAGTGACAGATCTTGACTAACAATGCCCCCAAATGCGCGCCAGCCCCGCCCCCTGCCGTGTGAGCACGTGACTGCGCGCGGATAACTCAGATTTTAGCGCCGCCCTTGATTGCGTGTGTGTTGTTGGGCCTTTCTTATGTGCCAAGGAGTCTGGTTTGCCACACGTGTGTAATGTGATTTAATTAGTCTACGAAGCGCACTGATGCCAAAAAAGTCAACATTACATACATGCCATGAGGCTCGTTTTTCTGTCACCTGGACGGCTGCTTGGCCCGGCTGAATTGAAGTGACAAACAACGGACAAAAGCCCCGGCCGCGCCGCCGCTCGCGCGCAAGGGCAGCCGCGAGCGCCAGTCGATAGTGATTCGAACCGCGGCCAGGAATTACGGTCAAAGTTTTGGCGGGAACGGGTTTGAAAACGGCCTGCGCGCCAGGCCGCCAGCCCATGGGTCGGTGGGGACGTCGGGCGTCCGCCCGCTGCCTGCGGCGCTGGGGCGGGGCGCCTGGATGGGCGCATGCAATGAAGGGCGCACCTGTTCTCGGGCCGACGGCGCAGCGCCGCCCTCAGGGCGCCCAAAAGAGCGGGGCCGTGCGGCGCCAGTGGGCCGCGACCCATGCGCCGGGGGCGGCAGAAAAGTCGAGTCGTACTTTGGGACCGACGAAGGCACCCCGGATGTAAAAGACGCAAAAAACCACATCCCGCAAGCGTCAAGGAAGGTCGATGGGGTTCAAAAACAGGGGGC